AGGGGAATTCACTTGCAAAAAAAAACGTGAAAAAGCTTAACACGCAAAATTTACCGATCTCAAAGTCTTGCGTGAGTTCAGAGACAGAGGTCACCTCCTGGACCCACATCTCAATACGAACATCGACCGGATTCGAGGGAAGCTTATGCTTGTTGTAGTGGAGAGCAGTGTCGAAAAGAAGGTGATCGATGATCTCCGTATCATTGGCACACTTTCGGGACGGCTGGTAAGGATATAACTCATTTTGGCTTTCCACGATACGTGTCTGTGAAAGAAGTGATAGTAGTAACAGCATCTGAGTAGTTGTCAAGCCATTCGTCTTCTTCTTCGCCCTGGAATGTCAGTAATTCCGAAACGAACTGCTAATTTTAAAAGATTTGAGCGAACAGTGGGTTTAAAGGTGCGTTTTGTTGCAGAGGCACGTCTCAGAGTTTGAAGAATGGAAAAATGTCCCAGCAATTTACAAGAAAGCTACGTCTGAATCTACTCGTTAGCCGCCTGCCATCAATATTCAACCACGCCCCACCCAACTCACAACGCCCACATTACCGAGAGTAAACGAGTTGCTAGACGCTACCCAAATAAAGCTAATTTTTTGAATGCCCTTTCCATGGTCAGCCGCATACAAAGGGCAATTCACTACGGCGTCCGTATGCGAACCTATTCAGTAGTCTCTGATTATCAAACTAATTCTGAAGCACTCCGACCGAATTTCTCCTACGGCAGTAGAAGCTTATGCGAACTAGTGCTCGAACATTTTCACCGAATAGAGCTGTAAACTTCTTATGGCCAAATGTTTGATCTCGATGTACCAATATTCGCGGGTTTCAGATGCCTAAGGAAACGTATACCTATCTAACCTACCTATCTACCTTTGTTACATATGTAAGGAGAGTTACTTGTGTTTGAAAAGGAAAGCGTGCATCTGCATACCTTTGTGAAGAATAAAAAAAATCAACCAATCAACCGCAGAATCAACCAATCAACCTCAAATCACAGTTAAAGCCTGTAGAAGCATGTACGACAGCTGGATAATTCAGCAGTGCTGATTTAACATTGCATGATTCGACTTCATTGTCCAAGTGGTGGTTTTCTATGGTTTTGTCGTGTGATACCATAAAATGCTGCAAAGCGCTTTTTTT